AGTATTCAATAAAGTATACTAAATATATTAAATTGCCGTATCGTACATACATATATACATAAAACCCATTACAAAAAACTTTAAATTGGTTTACACAGTTCGGCAGTTTGACAAATAATGTCGCCTTATATTAAAAGAACGATTCCAAGTAGTCGTATTACCACATAACAAGCATTGGGCATTATTGGTTTTTCTTAAAACCGAAAATTGTAATTGGCACTCATACGCAGCCATTTTGGGCATTGTTACATATATAGGTGGCAACAACGCGCTGAAATTACGAATAAAAATATTCAACGGCGAAGCGTGGTGTTACTCTCATGAAAACTGAAAGCAGACTGAATTGAAATTCGCTGCGTCGTTTCTGTATACGTATAAGCGCTGCGACGCAGACGCTACTCGCGAGTAGCGTTTTGCCCATCGTTGGTATACACATTTTGTTCTGCTGTTGTTCTCCTAGTTTTCATCCAGTGTGAAAGAAACCGTGAGAATAATCGTTCTGTCATTCTAGTGTGAAACTGCACTTATGAAATATTTACTACGTTTTGAAAGCGATGTAACGTAAAAGTCAGAGAACAATTTTTCCTTAAGCTTTTTCGGCAGTATTGAGATCTCTTTAATACCAAAAAAAAAAAGATTTTACCAAATAATATGTAAAATATTTGAAAACTGTCACAAAAAAATGTAGCATATTAATACGCCACTTACCTTGCGAGGAGACCGCACGTGAGCGGGCTAAATCAATTTTATTCGCCACCAAAATAATCGGACGAGTACGTGTCAAATCCATGTCCTGCAGTCGTGAGAGAATATGTTTGGCGCGTGTGAATGACTCCTTGTCAATGCAAGAGTAGATTACAAGAAAAGCATCAGCCTTTTCCAGTTCCTCCTGCAAAGATTTATATTTCAAAAATATTAGAAAAGTTTTTATGATAGGATCGTTAAATGACTAAATATTATAGAAAATTTATTAAAAAAAAAACAAAAAGATGAAAAGATTCAAGAAGAAAAATGCTTCATGGAAAGCTAGACATACATACATTAGGGTGCCTCACTAAAAAATTCACGCTTCCGGAATTATATAATTTATTGTATATAAAGACTTCCGCAAAATAACCCGGAAAAATATTAAGTTTTACATGAGCTGGGTCGATTTGAAAATACCTCCACAAATTTAGTTTTCTTTATAAATAAATTTAGTTTTTAAAAATATTTTTTTTTTCCAAAACAATCACATCTGATGTTAGAAGAGTTAAAGCTTAAAAGCTCTGCATAAAAATGCTTGAGAATTTTATCAACGGAATCAAAATAATTTGAATTTTTGAGATATTTTCAAATCGGTCTAGCTCGAATAAATCGTAATATTTTTCCAAAATATTACGGCAAAAGTCTATAATACCGTTTTTTTTGTATACACCCTAACATACATATGTATGTACATATATATGTAGGTGCTGTACGATATTATTAAAAAAAGCAGCAATAGCAATTCCCACCATCAATGCTTGCCGAAATGACAGTTGAAAATGGGCACCAAGATATTTGAAAAGAAGCACAAAAATATTGCTCCCTTGTGGACGTTGGCAATAGTAAAATATTGCTTGGCTTTTGTAATTTATGACTACGAATGCTTCGAGCAGCACTTCCATCAGCGACATCTGCGCCCTAATGCCATTTTATCGCTCAATCGCACTTTTCCGGAAATTGTGGAATGTACATTACTTACTACAAAATTTTTCGCCTCACGTTCACATTTGTGAAAAGTAAAATATAGCGCATTTTTATGTCATTGCTACCACTTGCTAAATGTCTCGAAAATTTTTGCAAACAATGTGCATGCAAACTATTTCGTTAGTTTAAATGCTTTCAATTTCCATTTCCATCTCTCTCACTCCTTCTGATCTTTACATGCAATTTTGCGGCAGCTAAGGAATAGGTACTGCATAGCGAATTGCTACGAGTAGGTACATTCGTCGTTTACATTTCGAACGACGTCATTTGTTTTTTCCTCAAAATAAAATGTACATACATACATATGCACAATCACGTCACTAAAAAGCCGCCGAGCAATATGTTTTCACCACCCTGTCGTCTGATCTATTTAACTTCTTCAATTACGTTACATTTTTCGTATTTGGCTTTCAGCCAAGGCAGGCAAGCACTCGTCGCCGCGTCTGCGCATATTGGGCGATCATTGCTGGGTACTTTTTTTTGGACTCTATAGCAGCCAAGCTGCTGTTCTCCGCCAGAGCCAAATAATGTACAAGTACATAGACATATGTATGTATGTATGTACTTATATAAAGACGCCTGAATACATATTGGCCGGCTGCTGCGGTTATTTGCAATTGATTTTTGGTTGCTGTAAATTTGACCATTTACGAAATTGCCTAAGCTATTTGCAGTGTCTCGTGGTACGGGTATGTTTAAGTATTTGGTGTAATTTTATAAGTATACGTTGGGTTTTTCATTGCACTTAAAATTGATTGGCTTCCTCTGGTTGTAATTCTTTGAAAAAATCATGACATTTGCTAATAAAAAATTTATATCAAATAACATATGAACTTTTATTATGTACTATTATGTATTATTTTTGTAACCGTTTTTATTAATTTATAAAACAATCTGTCACGACATCATTTCAAGCAGTTTTCTCTACTATATGTACCTAATACCTTTCTTAATAGAGTTTTTCTCATTAGCCTTACTCCTTACTCTGAAATAGAAAATTCGGGTGGCGAAAACGTCTATCCTATGACTTTACATATTCCAAAGATTTTTTTCTGGATGTAAAATTTTCTTTAGTTCTGGGCCATATGGGTCGCCTAGATATATTTGTCAAATCACCGTTATAGGTTTTCTAAGGATTTTCTACACATTTATTAGTTTTCTAAGCAAAATTTTTGTGTTACACGCAGGACTCGGTACTGTAGCCACCTTCCATGTCACGTGAACTAAATCTTCTCTGACATTAAAAAGTGCTCACTTTTGAATAAGCACTCCAAACAATTTTCCGAGCTTACAAACTTCTATATATATACATAAATATGTAGGTACATTTATACGGGCGCATGCATAGATCCATAAGTACTACTGCACAACAACGAGCACTAAAGTCATGTCATCACTCCCTCCGAGAAGGATTTTACATAAACTCAACTCATCAATATCCACTTTGGACGTACATACATTAATATGCATGCATAATCAACCGCGATTGTTTGCATTACAGAGCTCCAGAATACATACATACATACATACATGCATACATGACATGACCATACACCATGAAATTTCAAACGCATTCTATCAAATATTTGCAATACGGAAAATGCTTCTGGCATCGCCGCATAGGATTTGGAAGCAAAGATTAGGGTCTTTGACTGGCGGCGTTGATGATTTGGCAGTTGCTGTTGTTGTTTCTGCTGTCAATGCTTGTTTTAGCTTTTGTGCTTTGGTATGCTTTTGATCGGAAATTGCGGACATGCGGCGATAAACTCAAATTTGGTTTGAGTGGTTTAATTTGAATAGGTGTTTGCTGTTGAAATACATACATACATATGTAGATATGTAAATATTGGCATTATGTACATATAGAGGTATGTTGTATACAGAGGTATCAGGAAAGTGTTATTCGCAGGGAACGGATTTTTAGGACCTAAAAACCTACAAAAAAGGCAAAATTAAACGAAACGACGAAATAGGCAGGAAAAGGCAATAGAAATCACAAAAAAGGCTTTAAAAAAAGACAAAAACCGAAAAGTAATCAGAAAATACATTTATTTTAGAAATGTTTATATTACAAGTAAAAAAAGAAAAACTATGATGTAGTTTCATTATATAAAAAAAATGTTACTCTAAACTTTTGACCATTTTCTTCTTTAGAGTTCTTAACTCACAAAAATCTACAAATCTCTGTAGTTGCAGTAAAATTGAACGCCAAGATGCATTTTGAAGTTTTTTGGCTGCATTTTTCTTCCATTTTCACGAAGAAAAGCCTTGAATGTACTAAACGTGCGCTCGACGTGAGTTGATACAGTGGCGCCCAATTTAAATATGACTTTTTCCTCGCTATAATCACTTTTTCAAGGTAGAAAATGCATTTTTGGACCACCCTATTTTATAACCAGACAATAATCACATGACTGATTCTAAATAAAAACTTTTGGGCAAGACGTTTTCAATAAAGCGGCGTACTTGGGCTAGTCCATGGAAAGTTTGAAAGGTGATCTTTACTTATTTGACGAAACACCAAGAGCTGGTTACGAAATTTCTCATTCGACTAGTTTCAATGTACAGAGCTTTTCAGAGTTCATTAGGTTTCAAGGGTGCTTTTCCTAACCAAGTCGTCAGCCATGGGATTTCCCGCAATGTCGCTGAGGCCATATCAAAAAAAGTACTCCGACGTCATAGAGAGGAAGGTTAGACATTCCCTGACGAGTTCTGAGTGGGATAACAACAATTATATGGAGAATGGCATCATATAGCTTTTTAATATGTATGTAACGAATACAAATACATATCAATATTACTATAGTATACTAAGTAGTGATGGGAAGTATGGAGTACTTTTGAGGATCGAGTTCTTTATTATCGATACTTTTAAGGATCGGATATTTTTGAGAGCACTGAGTACTTTCTTTTAATATGTAATGTAATGTATGTTTTGGTGTAGAAACCTCGCAAGCTGGCAGCATTATCAAATTAATATACTAATCCCAAATAACGTCAAATGAATGGCTAATTACGGGGACACGTCTAGTATCACGCAAATAAAATTTGGCTTTTTAAAGAAACACACCAACTTGCTCAGAGTGTGGGATGTAGGGAAACATGCTCACTTAGTTCTGCCATGGCACGTAGCTATAAGTTGAGCAGCAACCTACACGCCGGTCGGCTAAACCAGCGCGCCTCATGGGGATAGGGATCCGATCCAAGCCTTTATTGAAGACTCTCCCATCTCAGTTGATGGCAAAAGACTTACTGACATATGAGAGTATATACAAGGATGAATAAGTTCCTACGACAGTCGTATTTACGTAACCTAAACGACGCAGATTTATGTATATCTGACCAAGGACTGTTACTCCAGCTTCATTCGCAAAAAATATTGAAAATATCCTTTTAAAATTTTATCCTTGAACATCCTTGAAAAATAGCAGTATTTTTTTAAATTTAAATTAACAAATTTAATTTAAATTTTAAATTCTACAGAATTTTCTATTCAATTTGGGACCAATACTGTTATTTTACATTGCACTAAATTTTAAAATAACAATAAAATTTCCTTTCCAAAATTGTGACACCAAAGAGAAAAACTCCGGTTTACAACATTTGGCCCCTAGTTTCGTGACCATATTGGGGTTTTCATGTGTTTTGAAATTTTTTTGATTTTGTCGAAAGGTGTTGAATATAAAATGAATATATATATATATTTTTTTTTTTTATGGCTTAAATAAATCCTTAGTTTTTTGGACTTTTACAATGTATGTATTTAAAGTAAGCTTAAGCTCCTAACAAGTTTTCAGAGTAAACTATTCGGCTTAAGCACACTTCAACAATATAAAAAGTCTGCGCTTAAGTTAATTTTTTTTTTGCATGAGACACGATTTGAATTGCGTCAATCCTTTTTTCGTACATTAGTACTTATTTTTGTAGGTGATTATTTTATTTCCATTCAATTATTTATCCACTTGAGTGGCCCAGCAGTTAAGTCAATCAATTGCGTCTCGATTAATGTCAAATTCGACAAACCATAATTAATTGACGCCACATTCAATTCATGCCACAAACAATTTAATGGAAAACAATCAAGAAGCTGCACACAACTACATACATACTGCATTTTTTTTTGCTCTCAATCCTTTATTTTCAACATTCCACTCAATTAGCTTATTGCTGCTGCGCCATTACACTTACCTTGTTATCCTGCTGGCCCGTCGAGAATTTCAATTCCGATTCGATGCCATTTAGAATTATTGAAATATTCTGCTCCGCCACGTCACATTCTGGAAAAGAGGGAAAAATGTAAGAAGAAGAAAAAGGCAAATGGTGCAAAAGTTAGTGAATTTATTTTTAGAAATGATGGAAAAAAAGTGTACAAAGCAAAAGGTGTGAAAAAGTCACTTGTCCTCGCAGACTGTGTGTGACATTTCAAGATTGCACAACGAAATTTAATGGGTTGTTTAGTGCAAAAAAGCATTAATAGCAAAAAAAAAACATCCTTATTGCATTCACAATGAGCTGGCAGACATTAAAAGAGACGAGAAAATTAACTGTTCGGGCAGTCCCCATCGCCGCTGCTGATCACTGCCGCAACGCGACAAATTGTGTATATAAATCTTGCGGTTGTAATTTTGAATTGAAAAACTGATTGTTGCAGTTGGTAATTTATAGGAAAATATGCACATTTGTATGTATGTATGTATGTATTTTTCAAGG